GTGTAGGAGTAGAGCAGGTCTGCAGTGTCCACATTGTAAAACGAAACCAGGCCTTTGCTGTGGTCCACAAAGACGCCCACCTTCTGAAGGCGGGATTTAAGGTTGAGACGCACCGAAGGGCTGTTGATCGCTTCGTAGACTTTGTTTCTCAACCAAATGGTCCAGAATCCTTTGTCTGGAGTCACTATTATATCTCCCTTCCTGTTGACGGACTCTTTGGCCACGCCAACGGTCCAGGCGGTCTTCCCTTCGACCCCGACCTCGAAGTAAAATTTTCCCGACAAGGACTCTTTCCCCAAAACGCTGGCGCACTTGTCGAACCTCTTGGAGCTGTCCGGTAGGTCTTTGGTCACATCGGTGTCGTACACTTGTTTGCCGTCGCCGGACAGGACGAGGTCCCGGTGCGCCGTGTCGGGATCCAGCGTCACGTCCACCGCAAACTCCCGCAGCTTCTCCAGCTCGGCCATCTTCTCGCCGATGCCTTCCATCTCGTAGCTCAGGACGTGGATGTTGACGTCTGAAACAAACCGACAAAAACACACAAAACGAGTACACTGAAGACACGTGAAACAGGAAGTGAGTGGTCCTAAATGAGCTTAAATAATCAAATTTAAATTCTAACTTACCTCTTGGTTCTGGGTTGAAGTTTTTCAACCGCTCCACCAGGTCCAGCCTTCCGATCTCTCCTAAGATGTTCATGGTTAGACGCTTGGCTCCAGACATTTTATATTTGCCGACCATCAGATCGACAGTGTTGCACCTTCCTGTGTTCTCCAGCTCAGCTGCTGCGATGCCGGTTTGTCCTTCCAGCATGTTGTCCTGCTTCAGGAACCATTTGAATTTAATAAAGTCATCGAGGGTTAGGTCGTCCAGGATCTTCAGGAGTTCTGGAGAAAGTTTCTCCATGATGGCGTTCTCTGTTCTGGAAAATGTCTGGAAAAACAGAAAAATGACCGTCGTAACTACATTTTTAATAATCTGAGTACAAATCTGTGTGTTCTTGTTTGTCTCTGTAGCTGTGTTTCCATTGCAAATGTGCACAAAACTTTGTTGATATTCTGTTAACGTCGAAAAACACAGTTTCGCAACTGCAGTGT